TTCTCGACCTTCTGCTTGTGCCCCGCCGCCGCGTGGCTCCACAGCGCCCCCGCCAGCAGGCCCGTGGGAAAGCGCTGGGCGGCGGGGCAGCCCGTCGGCGCCGCCACCTGGCAGGGCGGCAGCGCCTGGGCCACGAGGACGCGGGCTTCCAGCATGTGGCTGGGGAAGAGTTGGTCCAGGGGTGGGCAGGGCGCGTGCGTGCTGAAGTCCCCCATGATTGCCTGAAGCCGGAGAGCCGCCAACGTCTGGAGGTCCTCCTCGCAGGCGGGCAGCTGGCCGCGGATCACCATCTCGTGGCACTGCGGGTTCCAAAAAATAGAAATATACTGATGAATGGACTTTGGAACCTCGACTCACCAAAAACACAACAAACAGTATTGTTACAATACCACCTGACAGTGTCAGTTAAAACCGAGCTTGCAAGGGAACCCCGCAAGTGTACCTAATGAAGTGTCCAGTGAATGTCTCTCATGTTACCTGCTCAAAGAGGAAGAGATACTCGATGCTGTCCACCGAAATGCTGTCGGCGTCCAGCAGGCAGTAGAGCTTGAAGCACAGTTTGCGCTGGCCTTTGGACTCGCATTCTTTGCCGGAGATGCTGCGCACAAATTCACAAAACAGGAGCCATGAAGATTGTAGCTTGAAATGAATCGTTTGCCTTTCTTGTACTGCAGCCGCCTGAAGACATGTTATTTTCATCTCGACTACAACGTGTCCCCCGCTGGGTGTCACGTTTGACCGACAGCACCAAAACAAGGTGGCCTCTTATCAAACTGCTGCATCACGTTCCGCTTGGGAAGCGAACCACAGGAGATTAAAAAAAAAAAAAAAAGTGCACAGTCTGCTGCTCCGTTGACTCACGAATAACGCTGAAAAGCTTTTGATTGTGTCTGACCTGGTGAGGATGTCTGCGATGAGCGCGCCGCTCGACACGGGCTGCTCCCACAGCGCGTTCTGCTCGTACAAAGCAAACGTGTTCTTGCTGTCTTTCAGGCCGAGCCGCTGCTGCATCCTCAGCACCACCTTTGGAGAATACACAAGGTGGTTGTCTTCCGGGGGGAATTTTGTCAACAATTTTCAGCGCATCGCAAATCAGAAAGGATTGACCAATTTTATGCATTGAAAATTGTTTGAAAATGCAATGGCTCATGAAACATTTTTTTTGGGACATTCTGAAAAGTGATTGTTTTGGAGTTGGGAGAATTCCGCCCGACAGCAGCGATGTATAACTTGCGGCTAAAGCAAAGCGTGGAGAGTATCTGTCCCCAAAGTGCATGGTTTCAGTTAGTGAGAGATCATTGCAAACAGTCGCAATATTCACACTCTCCTTATTCTTGCCCATTTTCTCGACTTTGTCTCAATCCGCTTCTTCCTTTTGACAATCACGAAATGTTTTTATCGTTCACAAAAGGAAAAATTACATTTAAGCGTCGCTTTTTTTTTTATTTTTAAATTTTCCATATGCGGGAGGTCTGTACTGCTGGAATGTAGTCGTTCAACACATAAAAAAAATGCAAACCTCATTGGCGGTGGTATGAGAGCTGATGTAGAGCTGGCAGCAGCCGGGTCCGGGGTAGTGCACCGTGCACAGCATCTCCTGCCTGCTCATCAGCATTTGGATCTCCTCCCAGGAGGGCACGCATTCGCGACACTTGGTTTTCTCCAGAGCCTCGCTGATGAAGGACGCGTAGTTGTCCATCTCCGATTCGGGATTCTGGTTCTGGATCCTGCAACCGACAGGTGACAGTTATAGATTTTTCCTGCCGGTGCAATTTATAATTGGCTAAAAAATGTGATCAAACGATCGACAGAACAATCTACGGTGGTTTTAAAAATGTTTCTGTGATATAAAATCAAGGCAAAGTCTGAACATTATTTCTTGGTCTTTGGTTTTGAAAATCACACAAAATAAATAACTAAATAAATTGTCAAGGGTGTGTCGACTTCTTATATCCACAGTAAATCTGTAATGCTCTCAAATGAAATGCGAGATCCCAACAAATTTTCCATCAATTTAAAATTTCACTATTTTATTTTTTGGACCGTACTTTATTTTTGCACTTCACCAGATATTTTGAAGAAGTTCTATTTTCTAAAATTAGATTTTTTTCCAAGAATAATGACATAATAGTAGAACTTGCTTTTCTTGACGCTTCCTTGCGATATCAAGGACGACAGGAAGTAGACAAAGTTGGGCATACACAAAACCCATTAAAGGCAAATGAAAATGTATTGAACAAAAGACGAATTGTGTCTTATTTTCAACTCGTCACTTTTCGTGTGTAACCTATGATTAAAAAAAACAAAAAACAAAAAGGCATCTGGAGTAACCGCTGTTCCCGAGAGGGTTCATCACAGAAAATTATTTCAATTCATATTTTACAACTCATTATAGTCATCAAATAACGCCATACTGTCGGCTTACTTTTATCGTCGTAATTATTCTGCCCCATGATGTCTATTTTTACTCAAGTTGCCAAATATTTTTCCTCACCCGGTAAAAAAACCACCTCCAAGGAAAACATAACCCACCTTTGGCAGCAGTAACAAAAGACAAATTGTTAAAAGTGACCCAACCCCTTTTGACGGTGCGACGCAACCACGTCAGCCCTTTTGAAGTTTTATTTTCTTTGGGCTGCCAAAACGACAAAATGTGAGAACATTTTTAACGTCGGCTCTCGGGGACGTTTAAAAAAAAGGCGCTTCAAAGTCACATTTGAATTTGGGTTGAGCGACACCAAACAGGAAAAGGTGTTTCCGCTGCTGTGAAACGGGCTGACCCGCCGCTTCCTCCTGGCAAAGCGTCGGCGCCAGGCCCCGGTGAGCGTGCCAGCGCGTGTGCGTGCATGCAGCTGGGCCTAAGAAAGCTTCCCTTTGAGTATGGAAGGTGTGAAATGAAAATGAAAAATGTGATGAGGTTATGAGCTCAGTCTTGCGTAAACACCAAGCGGGGACGGAATATTAAAAAAATAAAATTAAAAAAAACACGCAAAATAAGTGATGCAATACCCCCCAAAATTCGGAGTTTTGTTTCATTTGTTTCAAAATGCCACTAAAATGTCAGTTTGACTCTCTTGACTTTGATGGAACATGACGCGGGGCTTGGGCAAGTCATCGGGATTTTGATTTTGGCTTCTCACCATCATGAAAATATAATCACGGAAGAACAACTCATGTGATGAAAAAGTTCGGTTCAAAAAGAGAAATCCACCCAAAGACACAAATTCCTGATGTGGTATACTAAAAAAAGGCTTTTTGGTTACAACAAACAAACAAAAAAACCCCAAACAAACATGGAATAGGAAGGGAAGAATGAGGTGACATGACGCCGGGGTGCAGAATTCACTAAAAAGAGGCGTTCAAACCGGAGCCTTTTTAAATCACAACACTGCCACAGGGATGGGAATTTGTCCCGCTGCTGAAACATAATTAGGAATGTTCCAGTAAGGCGGTGGGATCCCCTCATATGCCCCCCCCCTTTTTTTTTTTTTTGCTGCCACTTCTCCTCCCTTCGCACATTCTCTGGGGGGCACTGCATATTGGGAGGGAGTGGGGGGATGGAGGGATGTGGAAGCTTTTCTGGGCCACATGCCCAGCTCCAGCCTTGGCGCTGCCCAGCTGCAGCTTTCCAAAGGGAGCGGCGAGAAAAAGTGAGTGAGGAGGGGAAGATTAAAAAAAAAGAAAAAGAGGCGTCAAGTTACTTGACTATGATCGCTTCTGTCGATAAAGACGGGGGATGGAAAACGCAAAGGAGGGAGATTAAAGTGCTAATGGTGTAGATTAGCATGCGCCGCAGAAGGGCTAATTCAGAGTTGCAAATCCACGGCCGACAATAGCTAAAGTGGCGCTCGGAGACCCTGGCGCCTGTTTATTTTTTTCTCGTCACTGCATCCAAGTTCTCGCAGCCGTGGCGTTTGATTTGAATTTACCGTCAATTTCAAAGACAATACTCCACGCCTAACTGCTGAAAAATGCACCTCACGTATGTTATAAGTTTGTCAGAATACTCTCGTCCGCTTAATGTGTTGTAAGATGTGTTACCTCTTGAGGTGGAATCGCAGGTACTTGAGGACGGCGGCTCCGGGCAGGAAGGTGCAGCTCATGCAGGTGAGCAGCTGCCAGTAGCGCAGGTGGGCGGCGGTGTAAGGGGCAGGCGTGTGGCTGGTCTGCTTCACCAGCTGGCAGTAGACCTCGTCGCGCAGCGGCCGCAGGTCCAGGCAGGTCTGCAGCACGCCCTGGATGATGGGCACGGCATCGTGCGCCGACTCCAGCTGCTGCAGGCCGTTGAAGAGCTTGACGGCCTCCTCGCACAACGAGCCGTAGCCCTTGCCGTGGTGGTCTGTGAAACGTTCGGATTGCTTACAAGCAGGAACAATGTACAACATTTTTCGAAACATTAGGCTTTAAATGTCACGTCGCTTCGATGTGTTGTCAGAGGACTTTGCTCAGCAAGGATTATCATTGTTTTATTTTTTATGTTTATTCATTTTTTGCTTTTTCCTTGGCCTTTTGTAGTACTTAGCAGCCTCAACAAGGGTAGGGAAAATTCACTGTTCACTTAGCTAGCTGGCTAGCTAGCTAGCTAGGTAGATAGAGCGATAGCTTTGGCTAGCTAGCTATTTAGCTGGACAGATAGATAGATATTATCCCCATTTTTTTATGCCGTGGCTTAACTGTTCGTCAATATGATTTTTCCGAGATGCCAAAAATGCTAGTTGGCTACGAAAAGTTCATACAATATTCAATTAAACATTAACACTTTGCTGTCAATGTATGACTCCAACTTAAAAATGTGATTTCTGTGATGATGACAACTTAAAATCAGTTTCAAATTGACTCCCAAATAATCCTCACAAAACATGACTGGTACAATAAATGAGTATTAAAAACCCAAAAGTAGAAAGTATAAAAGAAATATGAACACTTTGAAATGCCCCGTAAAATGTCAACTTGTCGACAGCAGGTTCTGTCGCATTTTCTATTCACGCTGTAGTCAGCTGGAATGTCCTACCTGTGGAAATTACAATGGCTCTCTCTGGCTAAATGCTTAAGCGCGATATAAATAGACTTGAAATGGCGGTTTTCAACAATCTTAATTTTTTAAGTGCTATAAAAAAAAAAGTACAACCTCTGTTAAAACCCTTGATGAAAAATGTGTTTACCAACAGTTTTTTTTTTTTTTAACCTTCTCTTAAGTGCCACCAAAAAAGCAAAAGAGATGTGTAGATATACAAAGAGAATTCTCGGAAAATGCAACACTACATTGAAATCATGACGTGTATGTGGAAAAAGGCTTACATGTGTGCTCCAGGCTGCCGTAGGGGAAGGGCAGCAGCGGGGCATAGAGGGGCCCATGGGTGTACTTCAGGATGGGATTGTGCTGGTAGATGTGCTCCACCACCTCAGGGTTGAACTTGTTCTCCTGAAGGACAACGGGCGAAACAAAAGTTGCGGAGAAAGTTCATATTGCTCCCCCGAGCGTGCAGCCGATCTGGGCCAGCGGGTGATTGAGTGCGTCTGGGGGAGATTGG